TCTAATCATTAAGAATTGATGACGGTTGCTTGGTTATCAGAATCATAACGGCGCCCTAACGGTATCTTGTTTATTGTATTCGTTATTCGTCTAAGGTTAACGAACAACTAGCGTTTTGAACACCTAAAACAGCTCAGTTACTGAAGAACAAAAAGGTAAGAATATTAGAAAACGTTTTATGTATTTCCTTTAGTAAAAGTCAATCGAATTAGAAAAATACTATAAATAGGTTAGATTCCTTTGTATGTATTTTAAAGGTTTATCGCTGAATGACAATATATATGCTAATGCTTCCAGAATGTTTTTGAATGGCCCAAATGATTCTTTGACTTATCTTTTTCTCATCGTTTTTGTTTTAAAGCATATTTTATTTTAGTGCAGGAGTAGTTTAAAAGTAAAGGAATAAAGTATTATAATTACAGCTACCTCAGTAGAAACAAGAGAAAAAATATATAATATTTCATAAAAGTCTTTTACTAAAGAATATATAAGCCGTGACGTGACTCTGGTAGTGTGATTCCCTAAACAAAGATTGTAGTAAATTTGGAAGAAAAACAAAACTACGTTTCAAAATTATGAAATCTAAACCAATCTAGATGAAACTTTAAGAAACTGTTGTTGTTATAATAACAAAACGACCTTGAAAGTTTCAAAACATCTATGCTGCTGTTTTTGAAATATAAATTGCTAAGACTGCATTATTATTTTACTAGGCACTTAGTAAAAAATAAGGTTTTCTGTAAACGTACGTACAATCCAAGAAGGAAAAGGAGAAACTCTTTAAGACTTAAGTTTTAAATTATGTCTTAAACCAACTTTTTGCCGTTAATTATGAGTAAAGTTATTAAAAATTTATAAACCGGGAAACATGAATGTTAGCAACTTATACACATATATATAAGCACGCAAAATCTTGGATTCAAAATGTCTTTACGATATTTATATTATTCAAAATCAGTCGCATAAAATTTTCTAGTTTTAAGATATTTTGTTTATCACATACCACAGTTTAATAAAAATTCCACTTTTTATGTTTTTTTTGATTATCGCTGAATGACGAGATACTAAATTCGTTCATGAATATCAGTTGTGAATGGTCCAAACTTTTATGTTTTTTCAACTTTTTTCAAGTTTATTTGATTTGATTATAAAAATTAATTAGTTTAAAAATTTTAAGTTTTTCTTATTTATTGGAGCTACCTTGAAAAAAATAAAAAGGAGAAAAAAAATTACAAAAAATGAAAACAAAAATCATTGTCGGACGAAGATCTTAAATCTTAAAACCGAGACCGAGTACACTACTAAATGTGAAAAAAATATTTACAGTCGAACAACGTAGTTTTCTTTTATTTCCTTTGGAATATGAAAGCATGACTTTTGAGTAAGGAATTTTTTGTACTTCATCCAGAAAACATAATAGAACAGACCGGCTCAGATCGCCCATCTCAGATCTCCGACCAACAACGTTTTTTGAAATAGGTGTATACAGTAAATACAACCAATGAAAATGAAAATCTAGGTTAAGTAAAGAAAAATGAAGAATCTAACTTTCCAAAACTGATGAGATAATTAATAATTCATTTTGTCATTTTATATGCGCACGACTTTATATGCTTTTTAGTAAGTGCAAGATAAAAAAATCACTCTTTGCCTGGGATTTACAACAGTTTTAAAGCAATTAAATCATCTAGGATAAAGACCAGATAACTTCCTCAGCCTCGGAACGGCAAATGGAGATCTAGTGGTTGTGTTATTTTATTCTAACATTTTGTTGTAGTGGCAACATCTGCATACCGATATCAATCGTGCTTAGGGAAAGTTCATTTAATATGCTGAGAGGGGGGAAGGAAAATGGGCATTCTTCCTCAAAAAAAAAAAAAAAAAAAATTAATTAAGACCCTCCTTAGGACACTTTATTTTCGAAACCTACCAAACAACCAATTTTCAAATTTTCGAATTAAATTTGAGAGCCCCCACCCCCTGTTGTATGCATGTCATTTATTTAGAAGCCACCATTTCATTAGCCTGCGTCACATCCGGAATTTTCTTCGTAAATACCGTACCGAAGAAAATCAAGAAAATTCCGGATGTGACGCAGGCTACCATATTTCATGCCTTAAAACATTTCGGTGCCATCCCCACATATCTTCACCCCCCACTCGTGGTTGTGTTAGAACTATAAAATTTTGCTATGGTTGCAGGTTCTGTTGACCTTTATCAATTGTATTTGTATCTAAAACATCTTGTAGTTACTCGATGGGGAACTCGTGGGTGGGTTGAATTAAAACTAGAATATTTTGTCATGGTTGCAATTTGTGTTTACCGTTATCAATTGTGATTATATCTAAAACATCGTGTAGTATTGGCGAAATTCTGATATATGTCTAGTGAATATATTAAGGTGGGATCATACAAATGAAATGAATATTGTATTGATAAAGCATAACAACAAACACTTTATTGCATGTTATAGAGAAGACCACACTGACAAAAAAGAAATGTCATGGTGGACCAAATATTATCATAGATAACAATTAACCCGAACCCGAAGAAGAAGAAAGTGGTGGTTATTGTAAACCAAATAACACATTAACTACTGACAAAAGAAATACACAATTTGTGAAGTAGCGTGTTTTGTTCGAAAGAATTATGCTCTACACGGGCATAGTTTAAGTAAGGCTAACTTTATTGTGTTACACAAACCAGTCCAATACCACGAAAAAACAGGCTAGGGAAAAGGCCCTGTGAAACCTAAAATAATCCAAGTCTAAAATTACAATGTATAAAAGGAAAATAAAAAGGAAAACAGTACGAAAAACTCACCGAATTGACACCACGGTATACAAGTACAGCACACTACTTCAAGCACATATACCGCACAAAGGATTGTGGGAAATTTATGCTGAAAACGTAAAATAGAAACACGGGAACTCCGCAATACCCTTGTTGAGGATTACCCTTGTTGTGTGTGTGTTTAATACCACCTTATTTTTTCCAAAGAATAAATAGCCACTTCAACCAAACAAATTTATTATATTTTTCAGCATCAAAAGCAAGTCATGCAGGGAGTGATATTATTGCTGATGCACATTTGCATCGTTCACGCATGTGAAAAATACAGCTTTGTCAAAGAACAAGATGTAGAATTCAAAGACCACGTGATAACAACCATGACCACGCMATWTGTCGAGTTGTGCTGGGATAAATGTGTATGGATCACGAATTGCTTCTCCATCAATGCTCGTGTCAACAGTTTTGGGATGTTTGAATGTGATCTGAACAACTCCAGCAAGAAAGCGAGTCCAGGGAGCCTGGCACCAACACAGGGATCCCAGTACCACCAGATGGGGGTGAGTTCAATTAACTGTTTTCAGTGTCCAGGCATGGAGAAGGAGAGTGAGTTTTCGTACTTATTATTGTTATTATTATTAACACTAATTTTGTTAGGATACGAAAGAATGTGACCTAAATGGATGCACAATTATCAAGGAAGGTAAGCGACATAGTCTCTAACACTGCTGCCAATTTACATTCATTATATCTCATCAAAAACGCATGAATAATGCATAAGCCTTGGTAAGACTAAGAATTTTTTAAATTTTACAAAAGAGAAATTACAATAAAAATGTAATGGCACTCGGAACTAATAAAAAGAAGAAGATAGAATTATTGTGGGTGAGAAACAAATCTTGGTTGAAATAGAACACTTTTATAAAGAGCTCTATACTTCAAAGAAATAAGTAGAATATTGCGATTTTAAAGATTTTGTGAAATATCGAGGAAAATCTAGAATTCCACACGTCACAGTCAAAATTTTGATTTTGCTCATTTTTGGATTGCTGGAAGTATTACCGAGTTAATCATATCCTTTTTGTAATCACTACCAAATTCTGCAATCTGATTGCTTCAAAGGAGTGCCGTTAATTCCCAAATTGCATCCTTAGGAACTTTTAATCGCATCCTTAAAAAGATTTTTAAACGATAAAATAAAACAAAATAAAACAAAAAAATCAACAATTAAAAAAAAAATTTAGATGTTTTTTTTGTTTGCATTTAGTTCTTCTACTACATTAAATTGATTATTCTGCACTATTTAGTGTGTCTTTTTCTCGTTTATGATTACAAAAAGGATATGATTAAGTGGTAATTGAAATTCGTGTCGTGCAATTTTGGTCTGAAATCAAATTTGCGATTTTGCAATCGCGCGTTTGATTTCAGACCAAATTGCACTCCACTCAGTTCAATTACCATCATTAAACAAACGTGGTGTAGTTAGTTTTTCAAATAATCGCTAAAATTCTGAGAAATTTGAGAAAAACTGTCGGCTTTGATTATTATAACCAATGCTGATTTATACCTGGCAAAAACCCAAAAAAGAGAAAACACATCAAACCAATTCAACTCACAAACCAGCTTTGACGAAACTCTTGCCATAAACATTTGTACATTTGTAATTGTTTAAAAAATAACTAAAACTAAAATTAAAACTATATTACACACAAGGACATATCTTTAATACTAAGGCTGAGCAAAGAGAACTCGAAACTAGAGTATTGATACATAAATATAATGGTATCTTTTAAATAGACACAATTTTACGGACAAAATCAGAGAAACTTTTTGACTGGATTTGCAGCCAATATGCAGTTCGTAAAGTCCTCCACTGGTCAAAAATGTCAAACACACATTATTATTATTGAATATGTTATCTTGCTTAGCAAAGCATCATATTTGCCTATAAAATGGTCAGCGGTCTACTATGCTTGCGCATGCCTAGTATTTTGGTGACGTGTGACGTTGTCTTTGTGCATTCAGATTTGGGTGGAGGATGGTATCGCATTAATGATGCTGCTGTGAAGATAATCCATGAAAACAAAACCTGGATCGATGCACGAGCCCACTGTCAGTCCCTTGGAGCTGATCTGGCTTCTATAAAAACAAATTATGAAAATCTCTTTATTATTGATTTGTTTTTGAAAAGTATGACGTCAAAAGGCAATAACATAGGTATGTGAATTTTTGAAAACTGACCAGCCAAGCAAGCGACCGACCGAGCACCCCACTAATCAACCTATCCAGAATTCCAACTTTCAAGTGTCCAACCTACCAACCAACTGACTGTCCAACCTACCAACCAACTGACTGACCAACCTACCAACCAACTGACTGACCAACCTACCAACCATCTGACTGACCAATCTATTAACCAACTGACTGTCCAACCTACCAACCAACTGACTGACCAACCTACCAACCAACTGACTGTCCAACCTACCAACCTACTGACTGTCCAACCTACCAACCAACTGACTGTCCAACCTACCAACCAACTGACTGTCCAACCTACCAACCAACTGACTGTCCAACCTACCAACCAACTGACTGACCAACCTACCAACCAACTGACTGTAACAACCTGCCAACTAACTGGCTGTCGATCCAACCTCCTAGTTAACCTACCAATTTATAGGGGCTTTGTACCATCACGTAATAGCAGCCATGCAGCTGGATGGCACAACAATAGAGTCTATTTTTCCCACGGGAAACTTAATTGTTTTTGCCAACTGTCAACTGCCTCTATTAACCAAGCAAAAAAATAACTTGCGATTTATTCATGATTTGTGAAATGAAATTTGTTTTAACGTCTTAAAAGATTCAAAACGTTTGTTTTCTAGCACTACCAGGGAATGATTTACCAGGCTTGTTGAAATACTGGGTACTTGATGGAACCGATGGAGACGTCGTGTAAGTAACGAACTAACAACAAACAAACAAATGGAGGTATATGGAGATATTAATGTTGTAGATAGCAGTACACAATTTTCATTGAAGTTAGTCGTAAGAGCCTTTAGGTTTTCACTTGGACCACAAAATATGACCGCTATATCAGGTTGTCAACTAAGCCATTTTTATTGTTCCATATAGGCTGAGGGGAACTCCTTCTCCAAGGTATGAAGTGGTCGATGGAGAAAAAGCACTTTACCTTCCTGGATTCAACGGCTACGCAGAAGTCCCGGCAGTCGTAATGAATCCCGAGGGATACACGTTCATGTTGTGGCTCAAGCCTGCCAACCAGAGTATAGTACAATATGAAACTATATACAGTGATTGGAAAGTTCAACCGAGGTTTTACTTAAGATTGGGCAGGGGAAATAAAGGTCTCTTTTTTAGTGTAATGAAACAAGAAGGCGGATCAGAGATTGCCGCTTACGCATAGTAAGTTAATATACAATTATTGCATGAGGTTGAGCATCATATCAAGCAATTATACACCGACTGCGCGGTTGTACTGGGCCGGGTTTTCGTGGAAACGAAGCTAGTCAGTCGTCTGGGAGCAAAGTTTTCCCGCGAGCTTTGTCCAGTTTGTTATTGTTGTCATAAAATCGGACAAAATGCTACAAATCTGATGGAAATCACGCTTACTGAAGAAGATATTCCAGGAGCTAGTCTCTGTGGAAGAAAGCTATGCTCTCTTAAGACCGACGAATTGCGTTTTTGGCTCAAGTGCCGAGAGGATTCGTTGAAAGGCCTCAAAACGAAGGTTCAGTTAGTAAGAAGGTGAGATTTAAATCCACACACGTTTACTCTGAACTTTAGAATATACAGAATATATTCAAATTTATCTGCTTATGATTCTCAAATAAAGTACAGCTTTGTTATTTCAACCGATATTAGAAATGATTGCCGCCGTTCGTGGCGAACTTTGCGCGCCATTGACCAGTCAGCAAAATTCTCAAAAAAAATAAATAAATAAATAAATAAAAGAAAAGACAAAATAAATACAAATTTCCTTTAGTTGATTTACTTTATTGATGTTGACGGTGAACTGTTTTTTGTTCGTTTAATAGGGTCGAGGAATATATTGAGTCAAGCATTAGAGACAAAAATATTGTCGATCCAGACGGCGGGAAAATCTACACGAAGTGACAACAAACAATTCAAGCAACCCAAGCAAACCAGATTCATACCTTTTGCCCAGCTACCTTAAAGATGGATGGTCTAAAGATATCTGGAGAATGCCCTTCTTTACTAGGGCCGAAATGAACCGCACATTTCGAGGACAGGCAAAAACCATTTTGCTTTTCGATTCCATCAAATGCATTCACTCTTTCGTGCTTTCCTCTTCTTAGGAAAAACGGTCCAATAAAATACGGATGGCACAACTGTCTCTAATGGATAAATCCATCCTGCTAAAGTTTTCCGAATATCAGAGGGCTTAAAATGAATCGGGCAAACTTTAGTTTGGTCAGTGATTTTGAAGGCCTTTCCTTCTTCTCGACGAATTGCGTGAATACACTTTTTTCTCCTTATCGTACGCATCTTTCGGGAAGTTAAAAAATGACACTTTTTTTGCCATCTTTTGTAGAATATCCTCTCTGGGTGCAACCTACTACACAGCAGTGCGAAGGCATAGCTTTAACACGCTATAAAAACAACACAGAACGATCGAATTTTCGATGTGTGACAACTGAATAGCTTCGTTTCCGTGAAACCTCGGCCCAGTACAACCGCGCCGTCGCCATATTTCGATTCGGTGTATTGGTTGAGTAAAATTAAATATCGTGATTATTGTAGTGAGATATCTAGTGAAAAATCAGCCTGAGTGGGTTTTTAAGGGGCTGGTCATTATTTATCGAGAGGGGGGGGGGGGCTGGTGCAAATAGGGGGTGGGTCAGAATTTTTTATGCATAGGTTTAAGCAAAAATAGCAAAATCAGCAAAAATCATGCTTAAAAAGAAGGGGGGGTCAGCAAAAATCAAGCATACAAGCATAGCATATTTCATAATGCACCAGCCCACCCCCACCCCCCCTTACCCCTCTCGATAAATAATGACCAGTCCCTAATAGGTTCTTATTTGTGACAAGCTAAAAACGTAATTGGTTTTTATTAGTAAGTTAGCTATTGACACTGGAAAGTCTTTTATTCATATCAAAGATTGACGATATTCTCAATGAGCTTTTGGTGACATGTTCCATGTTGGTTAAAGCTTCACATAAGAACTTGTCTTGTTTGTCGGGCTGAAGTGGTGGTTCTCGGATATTGCTTGCTTTATTGGCTAAAATTCAGCCTGATGGTTCTTAATCCACTGGTTTCTTCAATGCTGGTTTTTACTTTGTTTCATTAACCTGAAACATTATTTTATCAAAATGGCGATTGAAGCTTTTTTTCCAAAACCTCCAAATCCTTTCGCTTCAAATCGATTCTAGTTGTGCTGATACATCTTGAATTTCTTTAAGGCTTATGAATTAATCATGAGTTTTTGAAACATAATGGATAACTAATCACTTTTCCTGCTTGTAATTGACTGTTTAGTATTGACACAAATGCTTGGAACCACATCGCTGTCACTTGGAACAATGCTGTAGCTAAGGTCAGGATTACTGTAAACGGGACACAGAAAATCATTAGGGATGCTGTGCCTATCTTACCTACGACCCAGAATACCTATTACCTTGGTGTCTTGGGTGGGGAAACACCTAATGTCGATAAAAACGATGCATTCCATGGTCACGTGAGGCATTTGATGGTCTTCAATAACAGTATGACTGATCAAGAGATACAAGCAGCCATCAGTAAGTGTTTGTTTTTGATTGGCCTTGAATTTTATACTTACATACTAATTGTATATTGAAAAAACCCTTAGGGGAGTTTATTTAGAGGAGTTGACTACACAGACACAGAGACACTATAGCACCAATTATGTTTAAATTTGTCGTAACCTGTTTACAGTCATACCTGTCTAGCCCATGAACATCTATTATTATTATTATTATTGTTATTATTATTATTATTATTATTATTATTATTATTATTATTATTATTATTACTNCCCCCCCCCCCTCGGGACTTTTACTAATAAAGTTCTTCAGTGTAGCTTTGGTGGGAACATATTGAATARCCTTATGCACTTCTTTTCTATACAGGTCAGAAAAGAGTTTTTTCGCAAAACAGCTCAATGGAACTTAAGGAAGAGTTTCTCAAGCACGACTAACACCGTGACGACAAATAAAGTCGAACCGATCTCAATGGAATCTTATGATGCTAATCATAAGAAAGCCTAACAGCTCTATGTTTGGGTCGAGCCTTTTACATGGGCTCTTACCTATTTACCAGCCACTGCTTGTCAGTTGCCATATTAAAAACATTAAAATATATAAAACATTTTTTTATGTTTTAAGCTCGTGCATAAAACTAATTTGTAAAATCACAGGCTGCCCAGGCTGATATCCTGTAGCCTGTGAAACGGCGTAATGTTTGATTCCTGCCTAAATATGAATACTCCACATATTGGCACCGAGTTACCTAATTTATCTTATCTCTGTGATGCCATTGAAATGACAATGGTGTTCTTCTTAGTTATCATCCTGCTTATTCTAATGAACTAGTGATCGCGCTTTCTCGCGCGCGGCGCTTAAGTTATGGAACGATCCGGCTTTCTCTTTCCAAATTAGGAGTTCCAGTTCTATTTGATCTTTTAAATTTCATCTTAAGACATTTTTATTAAGGAAACTGGCTTTTTATTGATACTATTCTTATCGGTAAGCATATATTTACTTTTTACTTATATAAGTTACTTATTATGATTTACTTTATTGTCTGTAATACGCATTTGAGTACGCATGTAGAATGCCCAATACAAAATAAAGTTATTATTATTATTATTGTTATTATTATTATTATTATTATTATTATTATTATTATTTCTATAGATTATGAACAAGGTAGTTTTTGGATTGGTCTTAATGCCCTGAATGATAGCAGTACCTTCAAGTGGAGTGATGGGACAAGTACCCAAAACATGGTGTTGCCTTATTTTCTAGAAGCTCCTCCCTCTTATGGTCCAAGATGTGTTGCAGTGAAGAAGAACGGGAAGTGGTTTGACAATTACTGCACACGATTAAGTTACTTTGTTTGTGGCAAACCAATCCCTTAAGGTGACTGTGATAACATACTTGCGCACAAAAACCGCTGACTGAAGTGACATAGTAACCTTTCATTTTTTTCGAAATGCATGCTTATGAATTCGCTGCAAAAAGAAAAGAACGCTTGAACTTTGCACCAGTGCCTTCTAATTAAGTTTAAAGAAATCCGCCTGGGCTTTATTTAACAGATAAACCATCACCATCACGTGGTGGCAGCCATGACAAGAGGCACAACATTAGAGTTATTTTCCCTGGGAAACTGAATTCTTTCTCACGTAAATCAGATTAGGTCAGATTCAATTGTCCCTGCCTCGTGTCATGGCTGTCATCACGTGATGGTGCAAAGCCTCTATTAGCGTTGATATTTGCTATGTATTATGCTTACTATATTTTTTCTTCGTGGCTGCAAATTCTGTTCACCGTTATGTATATCGATTGCGTTGAAAATGAATTTTTAGTCAGTTTTTAAAACAACTACGTTTCAAAGCTATAAACAGTAAGCAAGAGAGCATAAATAAGAAAGGGAAACTTTAGGTATATCGCGCGCACCATGGAAATTCCCGGTTGGCCTATTTTTAGAAACCGGATGCAGTTGGATTTTTGCCTTACCCTACTGCAGTGCGTCATCTACTAGCGCGCGATCTCTCCGTTTGTCGTTTCGATCACAGAAATGAAACGGAAAGAGCTCGCGCGCAATAACTGATGAAGCACGTTAGTAGAGTAGAGCAGATTTCGTGTGACCATGAAAAGCTCAGCACGGACACAGCCACGTCAAGGTCACGGTAATGCCAGACCAATCACATTGCGAGAGAGAAAAAATCAGCCAATTGAAATTCTAGAAAACATCACGTTCACGGCACGGCACGTTTAAGGCACGTGCAATGAGCTTTTCACAGTCATTCGAAAAATGCTCTTATGCGATTCTGTATCCGACACGAAATGAGTGTGAAGAGAAGCAAGAACCGAAGGCGAGCACTTCTGACACTTGTCGAGTGCTTTCGGCGTCGTACTACTGGACGTGGCTTTGAAAAGCTGGGGTTTTCTGTTTTATAATATAGAAACAAGTGTTTGTAGTTTTCAATGCGGTACTCTAAAACTTTTTACGAAATTTGTTTCGCACGCAAGTTTGCTGAACTGTATATTTAAAGATTACTCACCAAAGATGAAGTGAACATCGTCTCATCAGTTGAACAGGATAGTACGCGGAATTTGGGACAAGAGGTATATTGGTTGACCCAGGATCCCATCTCTGTTTCAACTTCCCTCTAATCAAGTGCAGCTTCAGCATTGAATACTCTTAAGAGAGAGCACTGATGAAGAGAGTGAAAGGCCAATTGAGGACAAAGGCCTATGCCTTTAAATATTGTCGTCTGCGCTGTAAACGAGTAAAAATGTATGCCATTTCATGAACATAGGCAAATATGGCCTTAAACTAATAATCATAATATTACCTAATATTTCAAATCCAAATTAGAGTCTTAGACGTGAATCTCAGATCCTGTTACACGCATCGACTTGCTGAAAATTCGTCATTTCGTGTTGCGAGTTTTTGAAGGAGAATCAAAAACTCGCAACGTGTTACCGTATCCGAAAATCTACGTGCGCGGTGTGTTAAACGCATCAAATTTTTGCGCAACGGCGTATCGCGAAAAATCGTCACAAGGATTTGAAATGGCTTTTGGTATACAACATTAAATATTCCGCATAATGCAATACGTATATTATCAACACGTTAATGAAATACTATATTAAGGAATTCATTATTGGACGAGGTTCAATAGAATATCATGACTTGTCAGTGGCAAGCGAGCAATTATGCGTGTGAGCGAAAAGTGTCCCCAATTAGTGCGAAAGCGCTAGAACGACTAGACACTTAAATAAAAGTGATTTATTTTTAATGTTTGATTTAAATAGAAAAAAGGTATAAGCATTCAAACCCTGCCAAAATTACAAAAAAATGTATGGTCTCCAGCCAAACCGTTCAGCCACACATACATTCTCCGTATTTTGTATTAAATTTATTTATTTATTTTATTTTTTAATTTTTAATTTTCATTTGATCTCTCTACACCTCCCTCTCTGTTTCTCTCTCTTACACAGTCCCTAAGGGACTATTATACATGTATTGTAAATCAATATATCAAACGTTTATCTGCTTTTTACGATAATATTACATACCGGTTGAGCCAAGCCTTTTAAGCTGCCATCACTAACACCCGCCACTCCTTCAAAACGTCACACGACTGCTGAACTTCCTTGATTTATGCGAGGATTTCCGATCCACACAACAGTAATAAATTAAATTACTAATACTGATGTCGCGAGAACTGTCCATCTATTGGCAACAACGTGCAATGAATCATCACCACCCTCTGAGGAGTGGCTTATCTGTCTTGAATATTCATCTAGTCTATCGCTTGTAAATTTGACTTTCCAGTCACTATAATGGCTCTAGATCAAAACCAACCGCTCTAAACACACCTAAAATGATTGCTCTCTCTCTCATTTCCGACGATAATATATATTGTCACTTTTAAATCTATTTCTGGCCCACAGTATCTAGAAAGCCGGTGACTTGGCATAATTATCTTCGGAGGTGAAATTCTAATCCTGTATTTCGTATTCAAATCCAAACGAAATTTAATTGTTTACGTGAGCAAGATAAAAAACCCAAAAGTGAATTAATTTATTATTGTTTTTAATGGAAATGGTCGAAATTATTAAGTGTTTTTTCTAAATGTACAGCAGTTTTTCGTTGCTCTAGGAAGCACGCCGATTATGCTGAGACTTTGATCCAGTTTCACTGATTAGTAGCCTAGAAATGTTTTTAGCTCGGATGGAATTTATTTTCTAAACAACAGAAGTTATATCTGATTTTTCTTTAAGCTATCTAGATGCCTACTCTCCACTATATGATTTTTCATCGCTCGAACAGTTAACAAGGTCACATCACACTGCTTTTCACAATAAGTTATTATTACAGAAAACAAAGAGTTTAAGTATCGTTTAGGGAATACCAATCCTGATCTATGATCCATAGCAGCATACTTATCGTCTTACGCGTATGTATGGTACGTCCCGCGGGATTCCTGTTTAGTCACACATGACAAGCCTTTGACCCGCGCCTCGCAATAATAATCCCGCGTGAAAATATATTTGGACCAAGAACAGCGATGAATTTAAAGAGGGGAATATCTGTGTTTTGTTCTGCGATGTACAGGTAAACCATTCGATAAAGAGCCGTACCCGTATGGATTTTATTTAAATTATTCATATCTTAGCAGGGTTGGTATTGTTGATATTTAATATTCATACAAATACTCAGCAAATTTGCATCTTGGTAGAATAATTACAAACCATAGACATAGTAGACGATTTGAAGCTTTGTTTACTCGCTTAAATCACTCTCCTTCGACTAGTCATTACTTCAATTCTCAATTCGGCCTGATTTTCAATGTATGGTTCAGTTCAGTGATTTATTTAAAGCCGAGAGTTCAAGCCTCGCGATGCAAGATAACGTTGATTTAATGTTGTTTTGTACTGGGAGTATACACCAACATTCGCTTGCATAAATTTGTAACTAGTAAGCAAGGGTGAGCTGCCTTGTTGATGATGTCATGTGCTCAGTATCTATCGTACGATTTGTTTGAAGCGTGTCAGTATTTGGACACAGAAGTACGATCAGTCGACGTGTAAACTCGTGTGGTTTTTGCAGCACTTAGCGAAGCCAAACCACTCTGGAACATATGTGTATCGGGCGTCGTTGTGAAAAACCCTATCATATAAAATACTGTATTAACAGAAACGAAGACGACATACTAGAAGGAATTAGATGAGGACAATAACATAAGATATCTGGTCGTGTGTTCAACATTCGAGGCTTGGAGAATAGAAGTACTGTATGCTGTAATAACACGACAAGCAAAGAGCATCAAAAACCTATTAAATTTACATCGAAGATTAGGATATTTTGGTTTCTACGTGCCTACCACGAACGAACAGTGTCTATTATTTGGAATTTTTACTTCGATGTTTGAAAGAATCGCTACATTTTCTTCAAAAGAAAAGGTACGAACATCAATATAATTTTTACTAGAATAACTATAATATTATCAAACACACTGCCCTAATTAGAATTTTCTAAGCTTTTAACGTGAGTCGATCGTGACTTCCGGTGAATGTTTTTCGTCTACCATTTCATCTACCATTTATTGAATGATTTAAATCAGTGGTCTAGAAATCTGCTTTTCTTTACGATGCTTTATCTGGAGCAAAATAATTCGCATTTCTACCGAAATACAGTAGGATATTCGATTATTCATCATCTGTCGTAGATGGGTGTATGAAAACGATTTTTTTGTGTGTGTGTGAAATAATCTCTATAAATCCTCATAGTTTTGTGTGATAATCTTCTAGTTTTATATTCTGCTTCTTGACTTTTCACTCAAGGCCATGTGTAAGTATTTTTTCAGGTTCAGCGATTTCTATGCTCGCAACAGCGTGTTACGTATAAATATTTCTCAACGTTTTATTCTTTTTTTGCAGTGTTTTTATACACGACAAAATTAACTCAGCTTGATGTCTTTCAAGGAAGCCCGCTGATCAATGCCGACGGGGGCTCAGCTTAGAATGCAAGTTTTCCCAGACAAAACCTCGAAACCTAATCCGGCTCAATAATCTATATTACGAAGTGCGTTATTTTTAATAATAATGTCAAGAATGACTGAGGAATCATGTACAGAGTTAAACAATGGTGTATTTACACCGATAATCGACGAAAGTGAAGGAGTGTCGTATCATGTTTCTGCAGACGTCGATTCAAAATGTTTGTCATCTACAAGTGACGCGAGGAATTCTGGGGTTACGTCTGATCTGGATCGAGCTGTGGCAGCATTAGAAGCGAGTAGCAGCAATCTTCTAGAACATTCAGTGACATTAGATAATATAACAACATGTTTGTCCTCTGAACGAGAAGTAGAATGTTTGGCTGTTGAACAAGATACATCACCTCAAAGAGGGACTGTTTCTGCTCCACAGCAAGAAGAAGAAGACACGACAAAACCGCGCGATTTTAGTACACTGAGAGCAATGTTCTCCCAAACAGGCGCTAGTCAGAACATGTTTTCGCCAAGACAAGGTAAATTGCGTGATTTTGACCCATCTAAAAAACGACCATTAGATTCAGGTTGTATACAATATGAAAGACTAGGTACGAGTGATGAAAACAATGAAATACAAACTGAAGGGGATTCTGTAGTGGCACGGATGAAAAGAAACTTTGAAACTAGTTCCATCGACACAAGTATCAAAAAGAGTCAACGAATTCATAAGCAACCTGTTTCCTTTGAGGTCAATCTAAATAGTGATTACGTCACGAGCGACTCCAGTTCTGTTAATATTTCCCATGAACCTTCACAGGCTCTGCAACAAATTAAGAAAGGAGTGGAAAGTACATTTAGTGAAAATGTAATCAGAATTGAATCGTCTAGTACCTCTATAGTTTCTTCCCCGTGTGTTGAGAATTTAGAACAATGCAATGAACGAATGAAAAAGAAGGAAATTTTAACTGACACAGGAATCCCGTCGGACAGCCCTAAGTGTATTTCCTTTGACATAACTTTCGAGGATAAACCATCTAAACGTGTCTCGCCTAAAACGAAGCCTAAACCGTCTAAAGGAAAACTAAACGATAGCAAAACGGCTGAAGTAATTTGCAGTGAGAGTGAAACTATCAACATTGTTGATGCACAGAAACAAGCGTTAGAGTCCCAAGGAGACAGAAAAGATCACTCGACAAATGGAAATAATATTACCAACAAAAGTTATTCGTTTGAAGTGAGTTTTGAGGACGACTCGCCAAAGAAAACGAAACCTTGTGATAGACTAAATAAACTACTTGTCAAAAAACCTTGTAAAACGGCTGCTCGACAAGAAAAGATAGTCGTACCTAGTAGTAAGTGTAGCTTTGCGACGTGTGAAAATGAGCAGAATGGACTTGTAACAGCTAAAACAAACAGCATTGATAATGAACTACAGGTTTTGGCACCAAAAGAACAATCATCGACAGATTCAGAGAGAGCTTTTGAAGTTGTATTTCACGATAATACTCCTAAAACCACTAGAGAAGATGTTTTGTCTAACGGGAATGCTGAAACGAATGAAAAGGATGAGATGAAAATGACAGCTCAAGGGATTTCATTTGATATTTGTTTCGATGAAGATTCAGTTGAAAGACCTAAACTGAACCGAAAACCAAAATTAACACTTAAACATATCCGCTTGAAAAAGACAAAAGAACAACAGCAACAACAACAACAACAACAAGAGAAACAACAACAGCAACAACAACAACAACAGCAACAACAACAACAACAACAGCAACAGCAACAACAACAGCAGCAACAACAACAACAACAACAACAACAGCAACAACAACAACAACAGCAACAACAACAACAACAGCAACAACAACAACAACAGCAACAACAACAACAACAACAGCAACAACAACAACAGCAGCAACAGCAACAGCAAAACACCAACCACAAGATCGAAACTGATGAAATTGATAACCAAACATTGAGTGTTTCACCAAGTGTTTTGCCAAACGTTTTGCCAAAATCAAGTAGAACGAGCCTAAAGGAAGCCAATGAAAGAAATACTTACACACTAGATGAAGTTTCAAACAGTTTACAATCGGCTTGTGAGAGAGGACTGACTCTAGAAGATGCATTGGATGATTTAGCCAAACAACAAGAAACAAATGAGCAACCTGGAAGTACTGACATGATCTTGGAATCCGATGAAGTGACCTCAACAAAACGAGGGACTTATTCTCTAGATGAGGTTGCAACGTGCTTGGTTTCGGCTGCCGACAAAGGCCTTACTGTAGGTGAAGCTCTTGATAACTTGGCAAAATCAGAGGAAAAGGGAAAGCAAATACTCACACAAAGCTACCAGCAAGACGAACTGGATCAAACCACCATAACAAACACTACAGATACGAGTCCGAAACGAGGTACGTACGACTTAAACGATGTTTCAAAAAAGATTGATGATGAGAAAGATAAGGGAAACTCCATTGAAGAAGCTCTCATTCAGTTGCTAGATGAGGTGGAGACTGTTGTCAAGGTAACGCAGAAAACAGAAAGTAGAGGGACTTATGATTTGAAAGACGTTTCTATAGTTGTAGAACAGGCAAGTGACCTTGGTATACCTGTAGAAAAAACTCTAGAGAAAATAGCTGCAACTGATGATAACACAAAAACAACCGACAGAGCTCAGTTAAAAGCCACTGTAAATGAAACAAAAACAGTTTCCAAAGATAAAAGCCCCAATAATGAAAGTAGCCAACTGAATAGTCACACAGAAATTATTGTTGGAAAGCGAGGAACTTACACTTTAGATGACGTAGAAAAACAGTTAGAACAAGCTGCTGATAAGGGAAGTACTATTGTGGATACTTTGAGTGATACTTCTATTGCAAAACTTCGAGAGACTAGTATTTCACCGAAAGTAAATGAGATAGAATCTGCTAAAATAGAAGAAACTCCGACAAGGAATACATATACTTTAGACGAAGTTGCCCAATCTTTAGAGCTTGCTAAGAGTAAAGGCATCCCTGTAGTCGAAGCTTTAAGCAACATATCTACAGAAAGGGTTGCCGGCGCCAAAAATCCCGCCAAGCCTGGAAGTAGAGAGACCTACACTTTGGATAAAGTAGCTCAGTCCCTCGAGACGGCAAGAGAGAAAGGTTTGCCGATTGTCATGGCATTGGAGAATTTGGTCCTTAATGGTGGTGGAAGTCTAAGAGGACCCGCTGAAGTTGCTGTTCACAGAAGACAAGGTAAATTGACCAACAGAAAAACATATGCACTAGCTAGTCCACTGGAGACCATTGGAGAAGAAAAGCAACTTAGATTGTTTGACGGTACATCGAGGAAGCTGCTACCACTAGCCAAAGATTATGTAAAAGGTCTACAACCTCAATTGTATGATGATCCTGAGAATACGCAGCCTTCAGGACAGAAAGTTGTTCAAACTTTAGACCTTTTGACGTCTGCCTGTGAGGCTTTGCTGAAGACAACAGGGAAGAAAAAAGAATCAGATGAAATAGAAGAGGAACAGATCAGTAAAATACAGGTTCCCTCTGGAGAACCCCAAGGATTAAGACAGCAGTTCAAAGCAGAATCTAGAGATTCTGGTATAAGTTTCCCAGGTGGTACGTCCGAACGTGGTACTTATTCCTTGGATGAGGTGTCTGAGACTCTAGAAGGGGCTACGAAGAAAGGAATTCCAGTCATCGACGCCCTTGGATCTCTCACCGCCAAGGAACCAGTGACAAAATGCAGAATTCCCAGAGCGTTGAGAAAAGCGGGATCAAAGTCCGAATCAAGCCTAAATAGAAACATAACATCAAAGCAAGAGAGCTCAAGGCAAACATATTCGCTGGATAATGTGTCGAACTCGGTCGAAGATGCAAAAGCTAAAGGAATCCCGGTGATTGCCGCTTTAGATGAACTGACCATTTCACTTGCGAAATTCTCGGCTACTCGACCAACACCTGGAAAACCTCTTAGAAAACCAGACAGACCTTCCATAGCTCGCAAGAAAGAAGCTCAACGTGCCAGTGTGAGTTCAGAGCTCGGTAGAGAGGCACAAAATTCARCAGGTTCGTCCTTTCCTATTTCCTACCCTCCAGCCATGAGAAACTCTTATTCTCTGGATGATGTTGCGTCTGCTTTCGACAAGGCGTACCAAACTGGAATTCCTTTCCAGGATGTTCTAGAACATATGCATTCGGGAACTAGCGGTGTTTCCCAAACAGGTGAAGATGCATCCATGACCAGGAGTACCGGATCATTAAAGATGGGAAAAGATTATCATCGATCAGCGGCAGTTTCTGAAGACTACCCTAGGAAGACTCAGTCTGCCTCATCCTTGACAAAAGGAAATGAGTATTCTATTCCTTCAAAGAGTGATTCTTCATTAGACGGAAAAACTTCTGATCCACCAAGAAAGAGTTCAACGTCTTCAGAAGGAAGTCTCACATGCTCCTCCAGCTACGGGTCTGATGTTTCCGTGAACAGGGATTCCTCTCCTACTGAAGAGTTAACACATGTATCTAAAGTGAGTTCTGTTCGAAAGCAAAGGAAACGATCGAACGGACCTTTCCAGTTAAAGAAGGGAAGTCGCAGAAATTCCCCTGCAAATTTAAGACAAACAAACACCTCCACTCCATCACTTCAGGGAGATTCTGAAGAATCTTTAGCAAGTTGTGACTCTGGAAACTCTGACTCATCTCAGACGAAGCGCGGAACTTACGATCTGAAGAAAATAGGCGAAGAACTGGACAGGTTCACGGTCGAAGGAATTCCAGTTGTCCAAGGTCTTGACAAACTGGTCACAGATGTTGTAAGCAMTGTTGATAAAACTAAGAATGAAGAGTCAAAAAACATTCAGGTCACTCCGAAACGTGGTACGTATAGTCTGGATGATGTTAGCCAGCAATTGGACAGCGAAAAGGGTAAGGGAGATTCGGTTTTACATGCCCTAGATAAGCTTTCGAGCAACTCTACAGAAATTCAAAGAGATTCTCAAGCAAGTGCATCTGAAAACAAAAACCGTAATACTTTCACCCTTGACCGTGTCGATGTTTCTATCGCTGATGCAGCAGAACGTGGTGTTCCAGTTGTTGAAGCACTCGACAAGCTCTCCCACAAGGAACGTGAAAAGACAGAAACAATTAAACCAAACCATAAACCCTTGGCTAAATCAGGTGAAAATAGTTTTTTTATTGAGTACGCTCCTACGAAAACAGAAGAAGAAACGCCAAAATCTATAGCGCCTGTTCAAGTACGAGACGGGCAGATATGGGAACATCGGGACTTAGATAACTATCCAACTAGGGATGGCAGTGCAAAACAGAAGAGTGATAAGACTGTCTCTCCTGAGTGTAACACTATAAGAGGTGCAAGAACTGACAAGACACGGTTGAAAGAACGGACCAAATTGATTTCAACTCCGATAACCACCAATAGTGATGTGTTCGAAATTCACAAGTCCGGACTAACATCCTCAGATTGTGCTTCACAAATTTTGGGCCATTCACTTGTTGCTGAACAAACACCATTGGAAATAGAAAGTATACGAGAAGACTCTGCAAGTCCAACACAGATGTTTCCAGAACAAAAGCCAAATAAAGATGAGGTCCTAGTTGCAGGTAGTTCACGAACGCGTCCAAGATGGCAGCGAAGTGGCAGCTACGTAGAAGCTTTGGAATCTTTCGAGGAATTGCTCGCTTCAGACCAGGATTTATCGTCATCAGAAGCCCTTGACAGCATTCCAGTTAAAGAATCCGACTATCTTAACGGTAATTATGACACGATGTATCCAGAGAAGGCGAGTAGTGAGACGTCCACCACCTCTCCTAAAGGACGTTCCACCTGGAGACCAAGTGGTACTGTCTTGGACGAGATCCTAAATCTCATGGATGAACATGAAGAACAGGGGTTATCTATCGCTGATGCGCTTGAAAAGGCAGCTGAATTTTCTGAACAGCAAGGTTTGTTTCTATAAATAAATAGTAATTATCCCTAAAAGACCGCGTGGGAGACTGGTAATGATAAGCATGATAAATGAGGCCAGTTGTTAAACAGTGTAATGAAAGAGAGATGAAAATGAATGGCCAGTTAATGTTGTGTCTTTTTGATGTTATTTTAAAAATATGGTCACTACAGATCACAGTGGAATGAACTTTTAAAAGGATAGGATATCATTTTTATCAGTACCAGTCCCTTACCTATCTTCTGGAGATATGAATATATGGACGAAGAACCGTTATCACGTGGGAATATTTGGGAATGTTACTTGCGTATCAGCCAATCAAAAACGAGGTTTTTCAAAGATAGTTCTATTTATTTTATTTCATTTTTTTTAATAGTTAAAAAGATTGTTTAAATTATAATTTTTAGATTTTTTAAATACATCATTTAAAGCCAAAAACACCAAAATGTGAACAGTTAGTGTGTTTCTCGTTTGAATTTCTAGTTGTTCTTTTATCACATGGCTAGTTATCCTTCAGCGATTGCCGGAAGCAGGTGATTATGTTTCCCCAGTAATCACTGTTCTTCGAGGTCACACTAATGTATCTGATATTCTCGGAATTTAAATCAAAGCAAAGCCGGAAGTAATATTTCTTGTCGCAATACTGACCTATATAAAAGGATCATTCTTAGCTTTTCCTTATTGTTTCGTACTGTGTACTGGTACAACCTAATCGTACTGTAGTAAGATGTGGTTAAGACTGTAGAACACGTGCAGCAATTACCAGAGCCGCTCAATTCGGAGGACAAAACAATGAATTCTCAATAGACCCTTTTTGAGTTCCAAATTACCGCTGTCTTTCTTGATTACAGACTCATTTAGTCAGGCTTAGCCTCGAATCAGTGTCTAAATATTCACAAATACCAACGGTAAAGTAAAGAATGCACAACTTCAACAATACGAACACTTTGAAACTTGACGGACCTTGACTGGAACACGTGAATATTCTTCACAAAATCGCGCGAGGCTAAGCCTGAGTAAATGAGTCTGTAATCAAGAAACACAGCGGTAATTTGGAACTCGAAAAGGGTCTGTTCTCATAAGAGTGCAAATATATATATATATAGTTTTATGTTATTATCCTCTGAATTGAGCTGTATTGGGAATATCCTGGCAAGAGGTCTGTAGGATATCCTTCTCTGACGTACTGTTTTATCGAGTTTTCTGCTAATTTTGTCTTCAAAACTGACTAATAATTAATCCTTTTAACGCTCTTGGTCTTTACTAATGTTTAAAAACAATCGTAAGAGTTTCAAGCTAAGTTACGCTACCAACTTGCAGTAAGTGGACTCTGGTAATTACCTCATTAGATTAGGTCTAATGTTTTCCCATTTCAGACAACATGTCATTCTCTTTGTAATAAGATTCTTTGTTTGAGGGCCGTAAGTTAGATAACTCACTGGGCTAATACGTCACCCACTTTAAATAAAGTTTATCTAACAAATCGACATCAGTTTTTTACATGGGTCTAAACTCAAGTGGAACCATGGGCGCAGCGATTACAGTACAGAACCATAGAAAACTGACTTTGATTTTTTGCGCTCGCTCAGTGACGGATGTCGTAAGCACAAGCAGGTCTAGCCTCTAATCGACAATGGTTCTAAGCCAATCAGCTCACGACAAATTTCCAAGTTATAGTTGATTGATCGATTGATTGATCGATTGATTGATTGATTGACTGGTTTGACTTATATCCATATTTATGTGTCATGCGCCACCGTTAAGCAAAGAAATGATACTCTAGGGAATGACACGTCTTAAATGGGAAACTTTTATGCTAAAGAGGTGCATTGGATCCGGATCTATGTTGCGTTGCGAACAATGTTTACTAACTACCACCACCTTTTATATGATATCGATACCCCAAAACAACCTCTGGGCCGATCGTACATGAAGACCATAGTTATAATCTTGGTCAAAAGGTAAAGAAAATTCCCCCCTCTTCCCCTTCCTCCCAAAAAATCAATGTTAGTCGTGTGTAGTATTTCTCTCTATCATTTTTAGAGCAACATTGCTTTAGGGTGTAGGGGATGTGGGGGACGAAGTTTTGTTTTATTTGTTATTAATGATTGTAACTTAAATAAGGGTAGTTTGAGCGTTCCTGCGGGAAAGTCTCTTGTTTTCCTATCAAAGACCTATTTCAAGACGGAGAAAGGATCTTTGAGGAGGTAATCGTGCTATAAAGGTGCTACTGTATAAAAGTTGTTTGAGGTAATAAATGACGAGCTTTAACGAGAAAACTAAATGGTTAAAATAATCGTTAAAGATAAATGATGTTGTAAACTAAGATGCAAAATGAATTAATGGGTAAATAAATAAATAAATAAACTTGAAAGTTAAATACTAACGAGCGAGTCGTTTGATGTAAATCAGAGATGAATGCATTAAAACCAATAGTAAGCATGACAGTATATAAGCATTTGAACATGTAAACCTCTGCTCAACCAACACAATAGGAAAAGCAGTTGTTATGTTGTTTGTTGTTGTGCTGATATTTTATGTTTGTTGTTGTGTAGTATTTTTCATGTGGATGTTGTCGTTGCGTCGTCTTCGTTGTGTGGACATGTTGCTGTTGTTGTGTTGTGTTGTGTTGTGTGGATGTTGTTGTCGTTGTGTTAAGGTTGCTATTGTTGTGTGGATGTTGCTATTGTTGTGTGGATGTTGCTATTGTTGTGTGAATGTTGCTGTTGTTGTGTGGATGTTGTTGTGTTGTGTTGCTGTTCCTGTCGTTGTGTGGATGTCGTGTTTTTTTTTTTTTTTTTTTTTTTTTTTTTTTTTTTTTTTTTTTTTTTTTTTTTTTTTTTTTTTTTTTTTTGTAATTCTTGATTCATCCTCTAACTCGTACATTTACTTTATGTTGAGCAATTGTACATTTAATTTACTTCGTCTGTACTTTCAATATAACGCCTGCAACTCCATTCCCCTCCCCCCTGCTTTTTTTGTATTGATTCCCGACCCCGTACTCCTACAGAACCTGGAGTGCGCATACACTTACTCGTAGTTTGTATGCAAATTAGCCAAAACTTCTTCGAACTGTGTGCAAATTTTACTTTCAACCTTGCCTGGCAAATGAACTTTGCAAAACTAAATCAGTTCTTGTAATTTAAGATAAATTCTTTCGTACTGTCTCTCTAATGCCTATATCTATTGTTCATTATACCCTTTTCGAGCTCGTAAATACCGCTGCATTACTTGATTACAGGCTCATTAATGGATATTTGCAGTTGACCCATAACAGCAGTAAAGTAAAGAATAATACAAAAGTAACTTTGAAAATACATCGACCTCTTATTAATATTCTACAAAAATTTGAGGCTGACCCTTGAGGCTGACCCTTGAGGCTGACCCTTGAGGCTGACCCTTGAGGCTGACCCTTAGCAAGAGAGAATACTCCTGTTCCGAATTCTCTGTTGCTCAGAATATTGTGTTCCAGTGAAGTTCCATGGGATTTCAAAGTGTTTGTATTGTTGAAGTTGTGAACTCTTTACTTTACCGTTGGTATTTGTGAACATTGTGACACTGAAACGAGGCTAACCCTGTGTAAATGTGTCTGTAATCAAGAAACACAACGGTATTGTACGGGCTGTAAAAAAAATTAATGTTGACTGGATTATAGAGGCTTTGCCACATTACGTGATGGCAGCCATGACAAGAGGCACAACAATACAATCTTTTTCCCATAGGAATCTGAATATTTTCCTTCTCATGTAAATCAGATAAGACCAGATTCCCTTGTTCCTGCCTCTTGCCATGGTTGCCATCACGTGATGGTGCAAAGCCTCTATTTGATGTTACAAATGCTAATTATGCTTTAGGCTTTTGGCAATTTATTTTTGTAATATGCGCTCAAGTTTTGATTGAAGGCAATTGCTTGCACAACTGCAATGGTTGCAAGCGAAGAAAATACTGAACTGCTGCTTGGCATCCCAACTAAGCCTGAGCATAAAACAATCGGCAACAGAAAATATTTAACATCTTGTAATAGGCTTCGATGAGAACTAAGCAATCACACAAGATACAACTGCTTCATGTACTCGTTAAACGTTTAATAGACCCAATTTGTAGCTTTCCCATTTCAGACCACGTGTCATTCCCTTGAGTATTATTCATGTTTGTTAACCAGAGGCATGGGAATCAAAGAAATACATGTGGCCTATAGAATAACATTACAACCAAATAAATCAAGTCCATGACACTGGCATAGGGAGTTGCCAGGCAACAATATGTACCCCCCTCCCCCTTGGTAATTAATTGTCACTTAATTGTTACTTGTTTATTCTGGATGCCCCACTCAATTGCCGATTCCCCCGCACACCCCCTGGTTCATATTAAATTATCTTACCATTTTGTAGGTGGGGTGGATGATGATAAAATCATCGATACTAAAGATGATGACGCGTACAGAAGCAAGACTGAGCAAAAGACACTGGCAACTGACTACGGTTACCAAGGAAACCAGGTGCTTGGTTACCAAGCTGRATCAAGTTATCAACTAACTACGGCCCACCAAGATAATGTCCCTCTACAACGGGGCCTTACGGTTAATGGACCAAGACACTGCTGGGGAGTTGAAAAGCCGACAGCACCCCTGTCTGTCGTTAATACTGCTCCATATGAGTGTCACGTGCCACAGGCTGACGTCACGATCAATGAAGATGAAGATCCTTCCAAGAAAGTGTTCTCTTTGTTCATAGCTGATGAGCCTGTCCAGACCAATGAGGTACATAGTACACCACCTTAAAGACTTATTTAGCTCGCTATTGTACCCGCCACCAAGTGTGAATAGAGTTGCTTGTCGGTTAATTCTCTCCTGTTTTGCGGGGTATTTATGCTGTATTGCAAGGAAATCGAGAGCTGAATAGTTTTTTTCGTGTTTCCACAGGGACTGACTCCAGAGCAGAAGAAGAAGAGAGAYAGGTTCTTAAGAAATCGACAAAAGAAAATGGAGGAAGAAAAAGCTAAAAGGGAATTGGAAAACGAGAAGAAAAGACAGTAAGTAACATTTTCTTATTTTCATCCAAATGAACCTGTTCTCGAGAGCAGTGTTTCAGACGAAGAACGCTCAATCGTTTCAGTTTCCAAAATGTTAAGATAAAGAAATAACACACAAGGGAATGTTAAGGGGTTCTGAGATTGGAAACGTCACCCAAATGAAAATTTATATGGAAAATCTAACAAGTGTTTCTCGTTATTCCAAATAGACGTGATGTAAGACAACAAGAGATGGAAGCGCAGAAGCGAGTGAGACATTTCCACCAACCTGAGGAACATCCGCCCTTTGCTGATTACACAAGTACGTTACCACATTGTTAGAGTTGGTTTCTTCTGAGGGAAAAACCCAATTTACTGAGTTCTGTTGGGGTTGTGTATGGGGTCAGATCAAGAGCGTGAAAACGAAATGAGAGAAGAAATCCCCCCTATATAGCCTTGTAGCCATCATGTGCACAGTTTGATTCTATTTTTAAACCTAATCATTTTCTGCACGCGCATTTACTGCGCTCTATACACTGTTTGCTTACGTTTTTGGGATTTTTCCGTTATTTCGACTCTGCCCTGAATGTGAATGTGCACGTTGAAAGCTTAGCAAATACGACAGGAAATTGAAGAAGTAATTTGTTCAACTTTCTGGAGTATTGTTACATTTATTTTCCAAAGCTTTCGACCTACATCGTCATCTTAGGACAGATTTGAACATTTCGACATAAGAAAAGCACAAGAAAACGTTAGCAAACAGCGTAGAGCGCGCGAGTACTATGCGCGTGCAGAAAATCAAACGATCAAATAAATGATATCATTGGATGATATTTTTAGAATAGATTCTAAAAATAGCATCAAAGTGTGCACATGATGGGGCACGGGGATTCCTTCTCTTAGTTCATATTCTCTTGGTCAGATGTGTGCGTTTTCGACACTGATGATGCAAACATTGATTGACAGGTCCTCCAAGAATCATCAAATCTAGTGGAAAATCAAATCGTAAAATGATCAGTAATGCCTTGTCACATGCTTGTTTGTCTGGAGCAGTAAACAACGAAAACAGAGAACGATGTTTACAGGTAATCTGCAAGTTACCCAAAAGTGAATAAATATTTTACGTCTAACAATTGAAGGACCCAGTAATCAAACTTTGAATGCCCTTAAACAGAGCACTTCACTGATAGAGAAAGGGAGTAAGGTTGGCTTCCCTTGATGGAGCACATGACGTTAAATATCCTTCGGCCTTGACTTAACTTACTCTCAGTCTTTACTCTCTCTCTCCCTCTTGATTGACAGGCGATGTCTGACTCACAGGGATCCCATTTCATTATACTGTTAAAAGATGGTTTACGATTTCGTGGTCTGTTCGTGTACAGCCCAGAAAATGATCAGGTTTGTCTTTTTTAGATAGCCACAATATTCAGACCCGTTTATGCGTAATCTTTTCCCACGTTAGACCTCGTAATTTAGATTCACTTTTATTCGTGTATTTTATTCTTCCATCCATTTTTCATTTTCCCTTTTTTTTTTCCGTCCCAGCTTTCCCTGACCTAAAAGCCTTGAATCACCCCTCCCCTCTCATGCCACATCCCGGGGCTTTTCATTTTATCTGTATTGTTTTCAATTGAAAGTTACCCGTGCCATTTCTATTTGCAGGCATATAGGATATACGGTACTGGGCCAAAGATCATTTCACCCAATATGGTCGACTGTGTTTATAAGTGAGTCATCTACTGTTCGTATTTTATTTGAAAAAACTCTTATGAAGAAGCAAGTTAGGTAATATCGATAGGCAAAGAATCTTCATCGAAAGACGTTGCAACAAGCCGTCCTTGTTTTTACGAGGGTAGCACTTAATAGCCAGTGGCTAAAAAACCTGTACAGCTGGCCCTCGTTCAACGATCGAATTGGAATTTAGGAGTTGATTTTTTTGTAGGGAGGAAACCCCTCGAATCACAGGAACCGAGAACTAACTTGAAATTCTGCTAACATACAACATCGAGCTCGGTGGGACTTGAACCCGGGCCGGAGAAGCGAGCGCTCTCACCGCTACGCCAACCGTGCTTCCCATAAGATGCTTTGTAATGATGACTTTCCAGAATACAACTATAGACATCCTATTTACGATGTTTTTGTTTTGTGTTGAAGATACAACAGTGGAAGCAAAGAATTCATCAAGATTCCCTCCAAAACACTGTCAATATCTGTAGATGGAGTGGCCATAAACAAGGTCTACTGGCAGTCCAACAAACCTAATGTTGCTTCAAAGACACAATCAAATCTAAAGCGACCTTCCAGACCTCATCAGCGGTAACACCCCATGTGTATACAGCGATATAGATGACTTGGTAACCACCTTACATTTGCAATGGCCTGGTTACACAGTCAAATCTAAAGCGACCTCCCATACCCCCTCAGCGGTAACACCCCATGTGTATACAGCGATATAGATGACTTGGCAAACACCCCGCATGTATCATGACGGCTTGGTTACACAGTTAATTTTAAAGCGAATTCCCAGACCCCCTCGGTTAGAGTGAATCAAAGTAAAGTGATTTGATGTGATTACAAATTTTACAATAACGCCTTTGATTGGCTGACAAAATACAGCGAATTGTCGATAGCATGTGAACATGAAATAATAAATATATTATAGATCTGCAGGAAAAAGTACAGAAAACACGTTTGTCATGTCAAGTTTACTCAGGGTAACGACAAACAGATAGTGAACATATTCTATTGAATCCTAAAGACGTTTTAAAGCCTTTCCCAACTCACACGCAGATCGAGTCTAACGTGCCGTCTAACGTCAATCAAAACCAACGGCTATGAAGTCGTGATAGACAAAAAGCGAAGAGAAACTCGAAAAATTCTCACAACAAGTGGTCGTGGGCAAGAAGGGCTACATATTTACAGCTGGGTATAAATAAATAAAAAAAGACAAATAGAATATATATTTACGATATGTGTACGGCAGAAACAAGATCCAAAGCTATCCCAAGTGTTTTTTGTGTTTAGTTCCTTTTTCAAGCGCTTTTTCTAGTGCAATGCTTCAAAAAGTATTTGCTGGTGATAGATGGTATTTTGACATATATAAGCGAATACAAGTAGCCAAGTGTAGCCAGGTGTAGGAGCTGTGCCAAACAAAGTGCTTCATGCAGTAATTTGATATTTAACGACGACTTCAACAAACAGATGACGTTAAAATCGTATGTAAATTCAATGTACAGCATATAAGGTTTAGATTATTTTACTGTGTTTAAATTTATAATACACAATGCATGATGGGATAGCCTGGGTCCATCTCTGCAAGGATATCTATATGAGTATAATATACAGCTGTGCTGTAAGTAAGTATAGTGATTTAAAGATTATATATGGTATATGAAATGCTTTAAATTCAAAGAGTTTATTTATTTTTGTTTCTATAGAATGTAAAAATAGAGTACAGTATCATAATGTATTTAATTAATAAACAGATAAAGACTAATAAAGACTAATAAAGCTATGAATCAATAGTATTATAGATGTACATCTCAGAAAATAATTCTTCTCGCTTTCGGATTATTATCTAAGTGAAAAGTCTGGAGGAGAGCCCGTGCTTGGCAAAAGTCAAGTCGATCCTTGGTAAAACTACAACTTACTGGATGGGCTTTAACAATGCTTTGATTTCTACGATCTACTGAATACAATACAGTCAATGTTATTAACGTTGTCCACCGAAAAAAGGCATTTACACATTTACACATTTAGACTAAAAAATGTATCACGTGTTTCATTATGTATTCTTTGCGTTGTGTGCGTCAGCCTGAACTTTGAATGTAAAATTCAACTCGTGAATCGAAAATCCAGAATGCCCTGACCATTTAGTGAGGACTTAAGATGGAGAATGGTATTTCGGCATTTGTTTTATGCCAAACCCTTCGAGGAAACACGTGATATTTCTTTTAGTCTAAATGTCTAAATGTCTAAATGTCTAAATGTCTAAATGTCTAAATGTCTAAATGTCTAAATGTCTAAATGTCTAAATGTGAAAATGTCTAAATGTCTAAATGTCTAAATGTCTAAATGTCTAAATGTCTTTTTTTGGTGGACAACATTAATGACATTGACTGTATCTGTATCATTAATTGTAGAGTGTGTATTCCAAGCGGTAAATATTTTAAAAAAATAGGAAGTTTTTAACCAAACTGACCCAGTACCATATTGTTAATTTTCTGTTAATTTCCAAACCTGACTGGCTTCCAGAAACTCGTTTCCTGATTCGCCTTGACTTTCTCTGTCTGCAAGCCGTCTAGGATGTCTCCCATACTTCCGATCAAACCGCTTAATACATCTTGCAAGTTATTATCAACCACCCATTTCAGGATGTCACGTGTTGTGAAGGTGTCACGTGGTACAAGGGTGTCAATCTGGTCATTGTAGATGCATCCGAGAGGAACGACTTGTTTGACATGAACGATTTCGAATGCAATTTCGAGACATGCACCGAATTGCTTCACACCATATGACACTGCCCTTAATCTCACGCACACTTCAAGGGACTTTATTTGTGGAAATGGAAAACACAAAGGTGGAGGGTCATTGACTGAAAAAAAGAGAATGAAAGAAAAACGCCTTTATTTCGCGCCCAGTTTTTCCTGGTAAAGCCCCGTTTACACTAGCGATTTTTGCGGCCATCTTTGCTGCGATTTTTTTGCGATCAGTTTGTCCATAATAAATAATGGTAGAAAATTTACTCGTAAAGTTTTTTTCAGGATACCAAGATTTTCCTAGACGAATGTCTCTTTTGAAGGATGAGACAAAAGATTTCATATTTCCGAAAATCGCCGCAAAAATCGCCATTGTAAACGGGGCTTAAAACAGGGGCTTATTAACACGTTACTAAATTATCTGTACATGACGGAAGCCGAAACGGAATTTGAAAAACGAGGTTTTTATGATGGCTTTCGGCCTCTACTTCCTATTATCGTTTTATTTTTGTAAATTCTCTTTCCTTAGTTTATTTCTAAGAGCTCCTAGAGCAGTCCTGGATATGCGCTTCATAAATTATTATTATTATTATCACCATCAGTGTTGTATCTTAATGGCCCAAATGTATAATCAAAAAGCAAGTCACGTAACTTACTCTTCTCACAGTGTTATACAGACCATATTGCTATAGTCTCCCTCGCATCCGTTTTTAGTGTCGGTCGTCACGTGACGTTGCATGACGACCGACACTAAAAACGGATGCGAGGGAGACTAATATTGCTAAGGCTATTTAAGCACTTATATTTCTCTTTCGACACTCAAATTTGTTGTAAGTTTCGATTTCGCTCTATCGAACTGCTTCAGTGCTAAAAGTCAAAGACTTCTACTTGGGCTCTAAGGATTTTGACAAAATTCTCCCCTGTCCTGTTGTCTATAAGCTGTGAACACAACTTCCGCTCTTTGTCTGTGTTACGATAGTCGGGGCTATTTTGACTTGCCGTGTCAACAAATGGTTTATTAAATTGAACGACATCGATGTTGAGACGAACGTAAACTAGGATAACAATACAATAAATTGTTTCAATTGTTACAATACGAGTAATGTAATATAAAGTGCTAAACTCTAATCATGCAATGATTAAGAATTATCGCCGTATGATCTTTAACCTAAGTGGGCGATCACGACACAAAAGACGACCTCGCAGGTCTTTTTATGATCTTCGAGTAATCACAAGTCAATGATTTAAATGTACTTATCATGCCCACACTAATTCTGGGACTTAGAAATAAAAACGACAAAAGGGTACTTACATATATGTCCCTCTTTTCCAAGGTATATTTCCCCTATTACAACAAGCGATTACAATGTGTCCCAAGCAAAGCAACTAGCTAAAAGCACGCTAAAACGAGCTTTTATATGCGCGTGGGGACGCTAAAGTATCCCATTCCAATGTATACAAACTTACTTAAGATAACACTATCCTAAAGTCAATAAAATAATCAATCAATTACGAAACAATCACATGTCCTTTACAGTCTGACTAGATATAGAATCGTTCTTAAACGTTCTCGTGACCTGTATAGTATATTAAATTTCTGAACTCGTTTCCTGTGTTTTTCCTTACAGTGTCTCCATAGAAGCTTTTTGAATAAGAGTCATTCCTGATCGGTTGGTGCTAATGGCCTATGATTAACGGCCTTTATTTGCTTGTTATATATATTCTGGCGTGACATTGTGTTTTACTACCGTGAGGGGTAGGGTAGGAAATACTTACCAGGGATTGTTTTATTGAAGATAGTTTTGTTATCCCAGGCAAAGGTCAGGGACAAACCGAAGTCTGTTAACAGCCAGGTGAGGTTAGCACATGCTGAAATCATAAATTACTATGAGTTTAGTATCATTCAAAGATTTTTATGGTCATCAAAACAAATAGCAAATATGGTTCTTGTGTGAGATTTTCGCTATAATAGTGGAAACTATCAAGGCCTAAGAAAATAACAATGAACCAACTACAAAAATGAATAGTATGTGATGCTCTTATAAAAGATTGAAACAGCACACCTCAGTGTTTCTTTGGAAGTAAGCCATTTTTCTCGCGGTTCAAACTAGTATAAATGCATTTTTTTTCACTTTCTCACTTACTAACTAACACTACACCGACTATCCTCTTCCAAACGTAATAGTTCGTTTTTTTTAAATGGTGATTAAATATTCAAAAATATTATTTTCCGGAAGTCGCGTGTAAGTAGCTCGTAAAAGCTGAAGTCAACATTGCGGTCTATAACTTTATCAAAAATTGATAATACCTGGAAGACTAATTAGAAAGCGATAATATATATCATAAGAAGCTTTACACAAAAAATATCGTTTATAAAGTTCCATAATGAATATTCAGAAGTTCCGCAATTTGGGATTCGTTAGATATCATCATGATCATAGTTATGACAACTGGGTATTCAGTGCAATAAATCTTGCGTTTGAAGTGAATGGAGTGATCACAAAATGCTCATTCGCTACAAGATTTTATTTCTCTTGATTAGTTGGAAGAATTGGAAGAGTAAGGTATAAGATAGACATCGCTAATACCACTAGTATGCTTACGTACCAGTACCATTGATCTTAAGTTGAGGAACGTCTAACTTGATATAAGTACAGCACCCACAGTTAAGAGTTCTCTCGTCACAAGAGCAGCCGTTTGACTGGCCAGGAAGACTACCTTATTTTAAAAAACTCATTAATAATTCATGAAGGAAACACAATAGAAATCATGACCATGAAGGAGGTTTTATATCTGATATAGATTCGTCTTCATTTGCATAAACTTTAACTTGGATTTTAAACAGTACTTGGAATTTAGAAGTTAATTTTTACGGAGGGAGAAAAACTGAATGATTCGGGGGGGGGAGAACTCGAAGAACAGGAGAAAACTAACAAGGAACTGTGACTCATATTGGACACTGAGGAGTTGGGAACCCGGTTTGTCTTGGTGAGAGGCGAGCGCTTTCCCTGCTACGCCACCCGTGGTTCCAGGTCGTCTTATTATTAAAAGAGGTTGCACGTTCTTTCAAGCGAAATGTACTCCGCCGCCTGGGTGTTGGAAATGTTATAAATGGGTACAATCAAAACATTTTAAAAGAATTCGTTTTGATTTTCACACGTATACGGAATAGATTTTAAACAACTTACTTTGTAGTGACGGACGGGCCTCAGCCATCAACACACAGCCAGCCAACACCAAGACAGAAAGAGAAAAGAAGACACGAATATCCATAGTGAGGTGATGGGAAGGGTAAAACAGCTTATTGGAAAAGTGTCTAAAGCTTTCCTTGGGATAGCTAGTAACGGACTGAGGAGATACGAGCACAGTGTGTTGTTTTATTGGCTGACGTACGCGTCTATCCTGCTGTGACGGTCACGTGACTCATTTGATAAAATGGCTGTGACTAAAAAAGCTGGTTACGTATCAGTGACATGCCTATTGTCTGGTTGCATTTGTGAAAACAATAGGTCGAGTCATGGTTCATTGATCCACCGTTTTCGGAAAAGTTTCGGATTCATTGTTTATAGTTTCTTGGCAACGAATAAACTATAAGATGCCGTATTCGAGTATGAGTTTACTCTTACTGTATCTATGAATAACTCAAATCATGAGTTTAAGTCCCTCCCACCCACGAGTAATTTAAGTTGCCTGATAAAAATCCTCTCCCATCCACACAGCGTCAGTGGTTGGATTTCTATATATATATTTTTCCTTTCGATTATTTGAATTAAATTATTAACGTTATACTTGTTTACTTATCTTGTGTCAGTGTTCCTTCGCTGTTATAATGCAGTCGTTTTCTTCCAAAGGTCAAACGGTTTGAATAGCCGATGAGCGTTCCGTACTTGACTCTGTTTGTACTATACCAACAACAACGCGACCGCGTGATGCTCCTTACGTCAGTAATATTCAACCGTCCAGAGTTAATATGGTTAATCGAATCCACCTTAAGTTCCATATAGAGCCCCGGGGTAGGCTACAACCCTGCTTGCCATTGTTCTCTCGTCTGTTCGCTTAATCCAATTATTTTGAAAGGTGGGGTGGCAGTGTGTTTACACAGCGATAACAGATGCAGCACCAACGCTAGTGTACGAACCACTGCCGAGCCTAGACATAGGGTAACCTTCCCGCCTCATTAATTACGAAAGCTCTGATTGGTTCATAACTAGTTGGTTCAGCGGTTCTCTCTTTAGGTTAGAAGACAATTGATGACCATAAAAGGTAATTTTGGATCAAACGCTCTGATGAGTTTGCATCACAGTAAATCAACCAGTCCAACATGGAGTAGAGTAAAATAAAAATACTACTACATAAACACTGTAATATTTGTTACAAAAAACGTTTTATTTAATACTTCATCTCTGGCAAACATTGGCCAAATCAACGCTTGACCAGTGAATATCGTCTTATAATCACTGGTCGCTCGACCAATCACAACGAGCAAAACTTTATCTAAATCTATTATAATTCACTCAGCAAAATTACTCAATTCTGATTGACAAAAGGGGTACAATTAAATCCCTCTACCCTTTAGAGTCCTAATTAAGTTGCTCAATTTTATTGTTGTGCATTATGAACAAAAAATCGCACAATCTTCTCGTACAGTTCAGAATTTATAGATACTTGTGATGTTTTGAAAGTTCTCAAATTACACTAGCCTAAAGGCTCGTCCAACTTTGAAAACTTTCAAAACGTGACTCGTATCTATCAATCAATCAATCAATCAATAGTTTATTTAGTCACGTATCGTCCAAGAGCTTATAAAGCTCGTTCAAAATACGAACCTGTATATACATTTACGAATTGTACTCAAGATCGTGCGATTTCCTGTACAAATTATATCAACTGTTTTTATATAAAACGAGCGAAATCATCTTGAAAAACTTAACGACGATTGCTTTTTCAGTGAGCATTTCAAAAATTTATGACTGCTCTATTTTTCTTTTTCTGTGAGCGGTCTAGAACATCACGTACTCTCTCTTTCACTTCACCGAAAGAGCTTCGTACAGTTTGCAGTTTAACTGCAAAGATCCACTGTAGTATGTCACGTGTTGTGAGGATGTCACGTGGTGTGATGATGTCACGTGGGGTGTACTTGCTTTGGTCTTCAAGTTGGTTTTTGTAGATGCATCCTAAAGGGAAGTCTTTCTTGATGTGAAGGACCTCCAGCTCTAACTCAATACATCCACCGAAGTTTTCTTTATTATATGATATGTTGTACAGTCTTATACAGACCTCAAGCAACTTCACGTGTGGGACCCCAAAACAGAATGGTGGAGGGTTAGTGGCTGAAACGAAAAAGTTTATTTGGCACCAATTTTCCAGTAAAATAGACCTGAATAGCATGCGCACTTATGTATAAAATAATGGTCTGTTTTGGCGGGAAAAGGCCTAGATTGTTAGATAGAAAAGTTACTGTGAGGGGTAGGCAAGGGAGGGAAGAAGTAGTATAGGGAATGGGGGTTCCAGCGCAATCTCAACACGGGGCAAGACCCGTGTCAAAAATCCACCTACGGACGACCCCCACTCCAAGTGTGGTTGAGGGCAACAGCGCACTTAAATATGTTAGTCTATATATGGAGTGCGAAGAATGTAAGAGAACTTTTAAGAAAGAAGCGGATTTGAAAGAGCATTTGAAAATGAAGACGAAGTGTATGAGCAGTTATGATTGTGGATGTGGTAAGAAGTTTGAGACTAAGGTTAAATTGTTTTGGCAT